ATGAAGCAGAGAAAATAAGTAGGTGGGTCGTGGAAAACAAACTCTGAAAATCGACAGAGAAGCAAAAGGATTAAATTTCTAAACAACTCCTCAAAATCTCTCTTGGAAAAAAAAAAAAATTTTGACCTCTGCACATGGGTTCTTGTGATCTTTCCATCATTTATTATTCTCTTGTTTCACATGCTATCTCCCTCTCCCTCTATCTCTGAGCTCTATATAAGACTCTGAAATGTTTTTCTTTGTTTTTAATGCTTAAATACGTTTTTTAATGGCACTGAAGGCTCAGGTTCGAGTGATCACTTCGAGAGATTTCTGTAACCGCGTTGAGATCGCCTGAGAGAAATCAGATACTCCGGGCCGGGATAAAGAGTCAAGGTAGCTGCCGTCTGCATCTTCTGTGATCGATGTCGACACTTTGTTGCATCTAGCTATAGCAATGTAGTGGATAGTTTGGTTGAGAACAAAGAAAAGATTTTGATCCTTTGTTGCATTTGACTTCATTGCTTCTCAGAGATGGATCTATCTTTTGTTTGATTAAATTTCTTTTTTTTTTCTTGTTTACAATGCTCTATAATTCATTGTTCTTTTCTTATAAACGACAAAACTTCATTTTAGGATGAAAGATAGAGCGGCTTATGTGATCTCTATCGTTGGTTAGAATCGGATTGATTAGACAGAAACCATTGAAGTCCTATAATGAATTATAGCCTTTTGGTTTCGTTAGTGCTGTAAATTTTATACATTATAGTTTTCTAACAATATGACTAAATTACATATCAAACATATGGCTCATTATACTTGTTACAAATGGTTTTATAAGAATAAGGCATCTCGATTATGATTTTGGCCTTCTAAAATTACCTAATTGAGAGGTAGGTATGACTTTGTATGCTATTTGTATGGCACTACAATATTTCACTGTCCTTTTTTTTGTTGCGTTATTCTTTAAATTCACCAAAAGATGGCTTCTAATGGGGTAATTGGTAGAACTGTATGAGGCTTAAGGACTGAATTATGGGAATGAAGTATCTATTAAAGTTAGTGACAATATCCTCTATTTAATTATGATCCRTTTTTCTTAAGAATAACCTGACAAGTCCTCTGGTATGCCTACCACATCTCCATTACATTTTGGATAAGGAATTGCAAATTTTAAAGTGTAGGGTATAACAGATTGGGTATAGGATTTCTCAACAAGAGTTGTTATATAAATAAATTAATGTTTCCTATATATATAACTTAAAGTAAATCTGTTGACTCTCTGCTTTTCCTAATTTGTGCTTAATAGTGAAATCTTTTGTCAATTACCATATATTATTAATGTTAACTGAAGTTCTTTTGTTGTGACATATCCAGTCACTATTAATATTTTTTATGCAGGTTTATGAATTCTTTTTTGAGCTTCCAACTATGAAAGACTTACAAGATGGTGATACTTGTCTATTTCTCCTAGTGTTATTTGTCTTGTGAAACTGATACATTATGGCAGAGTTAAACCAAAGTTAATTTAGATGTTGAAGCTACAAGCTCGTTCTGTATAGTTCTTTGCTTCTAAAGATAAATTGTGATTTCAACATACATTGAATGTGATACTTAAGTTATTTTCATGGTTTGTGAGATGGGGGCTGATTGTCCTGAAGACATGGACATAGAAGTCCTTTCTTCAATGTGGCCTGGTGATCTTGGTCATGAAGTTGGTAATCAGTTCAATGTGGAAAAGCCTGGGATTGATCAAGATATGTTAAAGGAGGTTACAATTAATGAGGAGCCTTCTATTGTTGACTTCAAGCGCCTCCTAGAATTAACCAATTATAGTGAAAGGGGGTCTTCTCAGATGATGTATCTTGTAAAGCAGTGGGAGTATAAGCAGGCTAATGCTGTTCGTCTTCTCAATGAAGAGCTTCACATCCTTAACAAACAAAGGCAAGAGGCAGAACTCAAGAAATTGGAGATTCTTGAGGCACATCAATTTGAGGAAGAAAAGAATGTTGGTGACAAGCGGTCAATTTCCATATTGGATGAAGTCTATGATTTATGGGAAGCTGTACCCAGGAAAAGAAATGATGTTATTGTTCAAAATAAGAGACTTGAAATTGATGCTGAGTATGACACAATCAAGTACTGGAAGCAAAGGGCCATGAAATTGGACAAAATGCTGGAGGCAAGCATCCGAAGAGAGCAAGTGCTTATGGAGAAACTGCAGGAAAACATTAAAAATCTGGAAAGGATGTCTTCACCGGTAGAAGAATTGTCTCAGATGTTGAAAAGAGCAGACAATTTCTTACATTTTATTCTCCAAAATGCACCAGTTGTCATTGGGCATCAAGTGAGTTTATTTTTGTACTACTTCCTCAGTGGATTATGTGTGTATTGCAATTCTGTTAGGTAGTTCTTAATTCTGGTTATGTCTGCATGTAGGTTGACATTACATTTCTCTTTTTTATTTACTTTAATTTGGTTTTCAATCATTAAATGTGATTTTATATGAATTCTGCTTTTTGATCCTGAACTTTTCTTCAAGAAGTTAAATTTGCAAAATGAACTGGACATGATACAGTAAACAAGGAAAGTTTCTCTCTGCCTATTGTTGAAATGTTTATTTTATAAAATATCATTGCACAATGGTTCATTCATCCTTTTACTTGTGACTGCATTATCACTTTCGTCTTTACAGTTTCCATTACCTACCAATGGCGTTGAACGATCTCACATCCACCATTGCCACTCTTCTTACTGTCCATTATTTTTTACACAAATTAGAGAATATTGTCAAATTAAGCTGCCATTCTCATAAGGTAACTTTTTTGAAGTCCAGAGTCAACTAACCTGGTGCTTGAATTTCAAACAGTTTCTACACCATACCATCCTTCAGAACTTCATTATATGTTATCATGCTTTCCTCTCTGTTCTCCATGCATCTGGTAGTTTGCTTTCAGGAAAGATTCTTGGAAACATATTTGCGTTTATATCATAAATAGGGTTAATTAATATCATTATGACTATATTTCGAAAACATGGGTTGAACTATTAGATAATATCTTTAAGAATTTCCAATTATTGTATGATCAACTTCCCCCATCTACATATTTGTTCTAATGGTATAACATCCAATTTTTACTGTAGTTTTTTGAATTAATTTCTCTGATGAAAAGTGATTCTCTTATTCCTAATTATTTTTCCTTTTGTTAATTGACACATCCATAGTGAGTTATTTTCTTTCTAAAATCCTTTTGTCAGGACAAAGACATGAGGTACCGGTTCATTTACAATCATTTCCCTAGTTTGCAAGAGAAGGTAATTTGTTGATCATTTCCTTCATGAAGTTGAAATTATGCAATTGCAGTCTAAATGTTGGTTGATGTCAATATTTATTTCTTGTATTAACTAATTGAAGGTAGTGCTTCTTTGTAATGGGAGAATGATTTTCTCCTTGAGGCTGTGATTGTTTCTATGTGAAAGGGACAGAAAACAATRCTTTTGCCTTAAAAGAGGCAAGAAACCCTGAAATCTTGCAGATTGAAAAATTGTTTGATTCTTTTATAAAGAAAAAGATAGAGTCCTTATAATGGACAATTTTGGTAATTCTGGGAATACATCGCATTGACAAGGGYATACTATCCTCAAATTTTCTGATTTTTTCAGGACATTATAGGGAGAACAGATCTGGAGATATTTTCTGGTGCTGGTGTTAAGGAATCCCAGGACTTCAAGAGAGAAGTCATGGAACGTGGAATACCTGGAAAGAGGGAAATTACGTTTGAGACAGAGTTATTTGGATCAAAGACATTTTTGATATATGTGGAACCTGTTTTTAGTAAGATGGGAGATAAAATTGGTGTGAATTATGTGGGAATGGATGTAACTGACCAGGTAACTTATTATAAAAGATTCAGTGATTCTCTCTGAACTGGAATTTTTATTACCAGGTTCTGTTAATGTGTGAAAATGGTTGTTTTTTTTTTACTTGTACTATTTTTATGCAGTAGCAATCATTGATTCTGGTGTTTTCTAAACTTTATAACACATTCAGATCTTCACATCTAATTGCATTTAGACACTGGTTTAGATTACCTTGTACTTGTTCATTCTTGTAACTACAAACTGGACCAAAAATTGATACTTAGTGCAATATGAGAACTGTTAT